TTTGATAAAAATTTTGATATACAATATTTATAAATACCTGTAAAGTTTAAAAATAATTTTGAAAAGTTTGTAACTTGTAAGATGTTAAATCTTTTTTTGAAATACCTCCACCAATTGATGCAAAGTATGTACCTTTACTCGAAAATATACACATCACTCCTTGCAATAATCTGATCTCGTATGTCCGTTAAGGTCAAAATTCAAATCGTTTAAGGTTAGGTATTAAAAGTTCGTACACACGATACACACACTGCACATATCGCGTTCCATTTAAGCGTGGCAAACTGTGTTTGAGTGTGTTATACTGTGTCGGTTTGTGTCTCCTAAAAGGAAAGCAGCCTACCTTTCTCTCTCGCACAGATGTGGCTTCACGTTCAGCGCCTTTTGCCCCTTCCATTTATATATGTTCTAAGGTTGAGGTACGCGTTGTTTTGCAAAGCTACAATAACCTAGATTTATAATTAAATCTAAAGAGTCCTAGATTTATCAGAGAGGCGCAACCGGCTTAAGTCAGTATGACAAAGGTGCTAAGGAAAGTACTAAACATGGCCGACATGCTATGAAACTGCCTTTAAACTTTGTCAAACAAGATAAGACGTGTAGGATAATGTGAGATAGAATGAATAGGATAAAATGAAATAGAAATATGTCACTAGTACTATAAATGACTGCCAAGTCACGCAATTGGTTAGATTGCAACAGCGAATTAGAATGCATAACACCGGTTGCGCCTCTCTGATAAATCTAGGACTCTACAATAACCAATCAGGCTTTAGACAGAGAAGGAACGTTCATACTATTATCTGCCTCTTAAGTCTATCGCACATGAAATGCATAATAGAGCATAAACATAACATAAGACCGCTGGACCAATGAGCATCCAGCATTAAGTCGCCATATTGATTTACATAAGATGTTCATTGGTCGAGCGATCTTATGTTATGTTTATGCTCTATTATGCATTTCATGTGCGATAGGCTTTAAGCGGGGAGCACAGACTCTTGCATAACGCATAACACATGAGGCATAAGAAATTGAACCAACCAGAGTTCTCTATTACATGGAAGGGAAAGAAACGGAGAACTTCGATTGGTACATATTCTTATGCATTACGTGTTATGCGTTATGCAAGAGTCTGTGCTCCCCGCTTATCGCACACAAAATGACATAACCTGCATATGCATAAGACCGCTGAACCAATGAACGTCTAGCATAAAGCACAGCCAATTAATATGACGGCTATGCTTCTTCTTCTTCTTTATTTAATGGCTCCTGCCTCCAGACAGTAAGGCCGAAGGCACACGAAGCGATAAAAGTAAAAGCGGAACGGTTTTGGTGGTAGCGGCGGAAATCCAGCGACCAATCGGAGTCTTTCCGCATTTTTCGTACAGCATTTTTCTGATCCCTATGGGTCCGCGCACAAAGATGGTCGCAACTGAGTCGTAGTCGTAAGTCGAAAAATTTTTTAATTATTTCCGAATGTCACATACTACTTTTGAGGAACTTTTCAACATTGTTGAACCATTCATTACTAAGGCACACGTTATTCGAACACCAATACCTGCACGCACTCGTCTGCAAGTAACTTTACGATACTTGGGTTCAGGTGACAGTATGGTTTCTATATCGTATGCATTTCGAATAGCGCATAATACAGTTTCTGTGATAATCAACGAAACGTGCGAATCAATTTGGAATGTTTTAAAACATCGAGTATTTTTGCAACCCTCCTCGAATAATTGGGAAAAAGTCGCTGATGATTTTGAAAAAATCTGCAATTTCACTCATTGCATTGGAGCCCTTGATGGAAAACATGTTATAATGCAGGTACATTTGTTTTAATGTTTTTAAATTTATGTCTTCATTATGAGCAGTATGTGTTTCAAGCGATTTTTCAATTGTACAGGCCCCACCTAACAGTGGATCAAAATATTATAATTATAAAGGCCAACACAGTATCGTTCTTCTAGCCATCAGCTCATTGTTGTTTTTCCATGGTTGATATTGGTGGAGAAGGACGACAGTGTGACAGTGCTGTTTTTCAAAATAGTAAATTTGGCAAACGATTTGACAACGGATCTCTACATCTACCCGCAGCCAAAAATATTGCAAATACAAACGTAACATTGCCATACGTATTAATAGCCGACGAAGCATTCCAGCTAACACCATACATGATGAGACCTTATCCGCGCAAAAACTTAGATCTGAAAAAAAAAGGTTTTCAATTATAGGCTGAGCAAGGCAAGACGGACAGTGGAATGTGCATATGGTCTTCTTGCTGCTCGATGGCGAATTTATGGAAAACCTATAGTTGCGTCAGTTTCAACAACTAGGAATATTATTAAAGCTACAACTGCTCTACATAATTTTGTAATGATCAATGAAAGAAAATCAAATGGAGTGTTGTCTCAGTATTCGCAGCACACTGCACAGGATCGAGCAGTAATATCAAACGGCTTGAGGAACATACCACGAAATGTATCATCCAGTTCAGTGCAAGCAGTGAAAATAAGAGATGACTTTAAAGATTTTTTCAACAACGTTGGCGCAATATCTTGTCAGTGGGAGAAAGTCTTAAATAATGACTTCTGATTGTATTCAAAATAATTTTGATTTTTT